CTTATCCCCACAACAACAACCCTGTGAGGTAGGTTGGGCTGGGAGTCTGTGACTGGCCCAAAGTCACCCAGCTGGCTCCATGGCTGAGCGGGGACTAGAACCCAGATCGTCTGAGTCCCAGTCCCACGCTCTTAACCACTACACCACGCTTGCATTCCCCACCCCATCTGTATCACGTGCCGGTTTCTCTGTTATCATCAATGTGTTTCCCTCTGTTTCCAGCTAACGGCAATTACTCATTTCTTCTGGACATGCAAGTAGGGTTAGTTTTCAGTGTGGTCTTTATTTTTGGGAGGGGGAACATAAGCCATGCTCAGAAAGCATGGTTTGAAGGTGGTGTATCTGCTCAAACCATAGTTAAGACTAACCACAGTTTGTTTGGGTCCAGACATAACCAGTGATTGTGGTTGGTGGAAAACCCAAGTGAAAGCTTTCAATCTCCACCTGGGTGTTCCTTATAAAACAGACGGAAAGGAAGCATGCAGACTCTGTGATTGATGGGAATTGAAGTCCGAAACATCTGAAAGGCACTTGATTGTGAAAGCTGGTTTAGCGTTATGTCTGAATGAGGCCACTAAGTTTCACTGTTTGTCTCAGCTTTTGTTCCTCGGACAGAAAGCCAACCAGAGATCCATGTTTCCCTATATCAAGCCAAGTTTATACAGACACATCTACCTTCCATCTTTCCTTTTTATTTTTCCATTAGAACATCCTGAAGCAAGGAGTTCCATCCATTAATTACAGATCATAAAACAGTGGATTGTGACTCAAACAGATCATTACACATCTGCTTTGATCCAGTCTAGAGACATTAATTTTAAAATACCTTACACAGGAATGAGTGAATAGGAATTAAACGGAGCAATTCTCAAGGCAGCATTAAGGAATTCAGACCTGAAGCAATCACTGATAACCGACAGTGGGAGCCGGGCACGGACCACAATAGGGAGTGATGTAAATTCATTGCTTTTTTGTCTGTGGGGTGAAGGTTAGGTCTGTATTGCTGCTATTCACTTTTGTTCTTACGTTTCCCTGGCCAGCACAATAGTGTTACTGCAATTGTGTGCAGTGAACTACTGCAAAAAGTACATCTAGGAGCTGTGCATAGCAGTGCCAAGTGTGAAGTTGCATGAGCGACGAGGGGGGCTTCCAGAAGAAAAATGGGTTCAGGGCTGAAAAATAAACTTTGTTGCCCGTGGAATTTGCACTGTAGTCGCTAAGATACAGATAGGGCAAGAATAATCCTTCTTGTTATGTCAGGCCTTGGTTGCCTTTTAATCTTTTGTGGGCTCAGCTACTTTTGTTTCCAAGCTGCTAGAATAATTGCTGAGTGAGAAAAGAAAGTGGCAAAGTGAAAGATTTAACAAGGGGGAAAGAAGACAATAAAAGAAACCCCCTTCAGGGTAGAAAGGCACACACTGGTGGAAAGTACCCCAGGAGGCTCCTTCAGCTTCATCTGGACTTCCTAATTTTCCTCTACGCTTTCAACTTTGTGTCTCAGATCTTTGGATACAGATCTGTTTCCTGTTTTATAGCGGTGGCGTTTCCAGGCCTGGAGGTAAGCCAGTTGTTAGAAATAGCATGAATAGGACCCCAAAGGATAACTTAACAGCATTACGATTCAAAAAGTAGGCGTAGTCCCTGATTTGGATAAGCTAAGAAAACACCATCCTTGGAAAAGAGAAGAGAGTTGCCTTCGTAATGTTCTAGAGGGGAAATCCAGACTTGCCTGTATGCCTTTACTTATTTTTGCTTTCTGTTTTTCTCCATTCCAGTTCGGTGCTTGAAATGAGCTTACGGGGTCTCTAGAGCTTAAAAACATGGAGACTTCCAAAATATCCCCGGATGCTGAAGAACAGCCTTCCACGGACATTGAAGATCTCCATTATTCTCTCCAAGGTGAGTTTGACGCGAGCTTTCCTGAACATTTACGTAGCACAGAAGTGATCGTCTGGGGATGCTGCTTTGTCAGAACATGAGAACTGCTCCCTGGGGGATCAGCACAAAGGTTTGTCTAGTTTGCTCTTGGGTTTCCTGCCATAGCTTCCTGAATACCCCCAGAAAGCTTGTCAGCTGAGCTTGAGGAGTTCCCTTCGTTGTTGTGGTTGGTATTCAGTAGTCTGTTAACTCTGAAACATCCTTTAACATCTTTTAGGGAACATCCGTAGAGGGCATTTCCTCTCCCCATTTCATGGCCGAGTCTGTCCAAAATATTAAGGGATGGTGTGGTTTGTTGAAATCTGGCATGAGACCCAGTTCACACATTACATCAAGCCAGGGATTTTTTTGTGAACCCGAGGTTGTGAGTGATGCAGGAGTGAGCGAGCAAGCGAGCGTTTTGGCTCCCCTTGTCCCATTGCAAGCAGGAGGAGCAAAACAGGTCAGGGACTCTCTGTCTGTGGGCTGCTAAATATGGCATGCAATTTCTGGGTTGTTGGGGGAGAAGGAACCCAGAAATGTAGCCCCGTCTTAAAATTTATCCCCAGTGGGAGTGATCATGCCATGGGAAGGCTGCAGGGCCACTTACTCCTACTTTCTTCACATGTTTTTAAAAATCCCCAGGCTGATGTGACATCTAAACTGTGCCTGAAAGCACAAACAAACCATGGTTTGTTAAACACCTACAAATGACAAAGAATGCATGGCTTGTTATGGCTTGTCGTGATGTCTGGACTGAAAGGTGCGGTGCTGGTGCAGAGATGCTCAGCAAGAGCAGCCTGGAAATGAAACTGCTCTGGGCAAAAGTGTGGAAGAGAAATGTAGCTGCAGGAATGGGGGAAGCAAGCCCCGGTTCGCTTGCTCGTTTGCAAGACAATTCAAGGCGCAAGCAGCGTGATGTTCTGCACAAACACAGCCAAGGTGGTGTTGGCTTAGAAGCAGCGAGACTCCAGTTCAGATTCCCACTCAGCCCTGAAGCTCTTTGGGTGACCCTGGGTTGGTCAAGCTTATTCTCTTAGCTAAACTACCCTGCAGGGTTGTTGTGGAGATGAAACCGGGATCCAAGGCCACTGCCCTGAGCCCCACGCAGGAGGAGAGGAATCCTAATAGGATTAATCAGCGAGCTCTAAATGCAGGGAACTAGCGGAGTGCAGGAGCTGAACAAGTAAACTGTGGGTCGGAAAGTCCCCAGTTCACAGTCTCCGTGGAGCCATGAAGAGGGGTTAGGGCCAGCACCGTCTCATTCTTGGTCCTCCATTCGCACAGTGGGGATAAGAGATCACACAGCTGCTAGCGTGGAAAAGCAGGTCAGCCAGCTCAAGCCACACTCTTGAGTTCTTGGTTTACTTCTGCGATGCCTGCTGGCGCAGGTAGCGAGACAACAAGCCGTTTTTCATGGGTGCTTATAAACAGTACATGTTGAAAGGCAGGGCACTCATCATAAAGATCCTGCATCTGCACCCTCAAGGAAAATCCAAAAGCTCAGGCAGCTCGGTGGATCCTTGGGAGGAGAACAATTCTAGGCATTCTTCAGGAGCAGATTTTGTCCTCCCAAGATCAAGTCCCCTGCAAATATTTTGCATTGCAAGAGGGATGTCTCCCAGTGATATGCTTTAGATGGGGAACTCTCCTGCAGCTGCGGTGCGGCTTCCAGCTAAGTGCCGAAGGAGCAGAGAACGCTATGCCCATCATGTCAGCTTTTACAATAATCCAGCCCTAATCCAGACCCTACCCCGGGGGCCCTGGCTCTCTTCTGCATTGCTTGCAAAGCATAAGGCGGGTCCCAGAGCTTTTGACCCTGCTTTCTGGGAGGGCCACATTTTCCCACTGTCCCTTCATGTTTTCTTTTGCTCCCTTCCTGTGTTGCTGCAAGCCGCTGTCAAGCTAACCTCCCTGTTCAGGCGCTGTTGCGATTTGGATCAGCAGCCTCCTCACTGTTGTTCCTCATTGCACATCATGGCAAGCTCTTGCTTGCCCTCTCCCCCACACCATCACACATGGTTCAGCCTGAAATCCTCCCCCTGCCCCACACACACACACACACGCCCTCCAACACTCTCCCTGCCTGCAGGGCAAAGCACTCACCTGGCATGGAAAAGCCAGGTGAGTACTGGAAAGTATGAGGATTGCTTGTTCAAATTCATGACTCAAGTTCCTAGCCCTCAGTGTGCCCTTACAGACAATTCCTGCCTTTGTGGAGCTATTGGGCCTTTCTTTCCATAATGGAGTTTCTATGGTAGTGAAACAAGATAGTGGAAGTGGTGGGAAAATGCAGGAGGGTCACAAGTGGAAGATGAGGATGCCTGGACTCCCCCACGCCCTGGTAAAAGGCTGCGAATGAAGCAGTTCCATTTCACTATTAAAGCATCGTCTAGAAGCACCTTTAGAACCAAACTAGACTTGAGGCTTGTGCTTTAGAAAGTAAATTGCAGGCCTGCAGGCTCTGATCCAGGTTGGGAATCTGGTGGCGGGAGAGGGCGCCAGCCCTTTGCCGTAGAAACATAGGCATAGAAACAGAGCGAGTCAGAAGGGGTCTCCCGGGCCATCTAGTCTGACCTCCGGCACTAGCCGGCTCCGCACACGACATGCCCACCATGTGGACGTCCAGCCTATCCTTGAACACCCGCACCGATGGGGCCTCAACGACCTTCCGTGGAAGCCCATGCCACACCCTCGGGGTCCTGACTGTGAGGAAGTGCTTGCTTTGGTCCCGATTTGGCTACCTCCTCTGCACCTGCTGTTTGCACTGGGTGGAATTCCCATATTTTATTCCCATGCAAGTGGCGGGAGTCCCCCCCACACCCTGAATCCATTTTGGAAACTGCATGTCCCGGATCTCTTCCCTGGAGCCCTGGTAGCAGGAAGAGGGCCCCTGAAACAGGAGGGAAAATCCTCAAGCCTTTATTGGGATGTGCTTGCTAGGGCAGCTCATTTGCGCGATTTTTGCTCTTTAGGCCTCAAGCATCCCTCAAGTAGGGCTCAGGCTAGAGCTGGAGACCAGCTCCACATTCTCTGTACCACAGGGCCAACTGGGAGTCCCCTAACTAGAAGAACTGAGACTGTCTGTATGCCAGGATTGAGTCCAGTGGTCTTTCTGCCCCGGAAGGGAGCAGCTGGCAGAATGGATTTCCCCTTTCTTCCTGCAGACCCCCTTGTACCTTCCAGATCTGGTCCGGAGGGCAGGGGGACCCTCCGGAGTGGATTTGGGACACATATGGAGACTTTAGCAGGGAGGAGAAGATAGAGAAGCCCCGTTGTGTGAGCAGACGTCCCGTTGCACGAGGGTTGGATCCAGTCTGAAGCATTTGCAGTGCTGAGCCATGGACATTTCCCAAAAGTTATATAAAGACGATGAAACTGCCATATGCTGGAAGTCCTGGGTCCATGGCACTCGGCGCTGCCTGCTCTGAGCTGCAGGACCGATGCAACATTTCCCACAGAAAGGAGACCTCCTTCCATGGCCCTCCAAGCTGGTTGGGTGAGGAGGGACAGAATAGCCCACCTGCTCCCCTGTATGGCGTTCCACGCCCTTGCTTTCCTAGTCACCTATGGTGACCCATGGTGACCCATGGTGACCAGATGAATCCTTGTTGTTATGATTGCGTTACATTATACCTCACCCTTTTTTCTTCTTGCAAGGGCTTCTGTTTACCCCCAAAGATAGGAAATTTCTGTAGATTCTCATGCCATGGGTCCATGGTAGCTCAATGCCCAGTACCCATTTTATTCTCACAACAACAACCCAGTGAGGTAGGTGCGGTTGAGAGCCAGTGAGTCAGTGGCTGGCCTAAAGTCAGCCAGTGAGCTGCATGGGCAGGTGGGGGCCAAGATCCTGGAACTTCCTGGTACCCAGTCCAACACTCAACCACAAGGTTGGTGGCCGGTTTGCAGGGGATGATGGGGTATGAGGCAAGACTGAGGGAACTGGGTCTCTTCAGCCTGGAGAAGAGGAGACTCAGAGGGGATACGTTGGTGACATACAGGTATGTGAGGGGGTGTCACACGGAGGTGGGAAGAGACCTGTTCTCCCCTGCAGAGGAAGGCAGGACGCGCTCCAACGGAGCAAAGCTCAGGGAACCAGGGTTCCATTTGGATGCCAGGAAGCACTTCCTGACAGTCAGGACCCCGAGGGTGTGGAATGGGCTTCCACGAGAGGTCGCTGAGGCCCCATCGGTGCGGGTGTTCAAGGACAGGTAGGACGTCCACATGGTGGGCATGTCATGAGCAGAGCCGGCTGGAGCCGGGGGTCAGACTAGATGGCCCGGGAGGTCCCTTCTGACTCTCTCTGTTGCTGTTTCTGTGTTTCAACCTCCATTAAGCTCTGCAGTGGCTTGCAAATCTCCTCTAGTGTGTTGCATAAGGACTGGAAGTTGCTTGCAACTTTCCCCTGCTCTCCTGGACATTCCAGTGTGGAGAAAAATGTTTCACCAGAAATGCTTCACCCCATGCTGAATATACAGCGAAACTTGATGCCCAGTCTGGGTTTGCACATGGAATATGTGGATTTAGTTCTGTTTTTTTAAAAAGCTGATCGACAACTTCTCAAACACTCACACTCATGCAGGCCTCTTGCTGCAAGCATGGCACACACTTGAACAAATACTCCGGAGGCTTCGGGCTGTTTGCCGTGGCGTGGCACTGGGCTCAGTTATCGGGTGTTCTTTTCAGGGCCAGAGAAATTGTTTCAGGTGTGGTTGCTTCTCTAACAAAGCCGCCACACCTCCTCCTCCTCCCAGTGCAATAAAGCGATAAGTGCCAAGGATGGAGAAATAGGTAACACATTCCATTGTGAATCATAGCCGCGTTCCTAAATACTCGGGGCTGCTATGCAACCAACATGAGTAGTGGGGAGAAAACCAGACAGGACTGGTTTTCTGGGCTGGCTCCCGTTCAGGTGGGAAACTTGTGTCTCGGTTGTGCCACCCCAGGCTGCAAGGAAGTTCATGCCACTGAATGTCTCT